TGCAAAACCATTTCCCAAGAAAACACAGGGCTGTGGCAGCTGCCAGAGCCCGTGGCAGCACACATCCCATGTTAGTCCCTGCATGGAGGCACCATTCCTGCACTGCTCACCACATCAGCTCCCCGCCCTGCTGTGGGCACAGGGACATCCTTCCATCCCACAGTTCCACCAGCCCGTAACCAGCTTTCATCTCCTTCTTCAGCCATTACCTTGCAACAAGTGGAGTTCTTTTCTCCTGACCCAGAAAAACATTGCAAGAAGCAATTAAAATTAACAGAGTTCAGAGCCTGCACTTTAATATTAAAGCACTGGATAGAATGCAGCAGTTCTGCAGGACAGGAGGGGGGAGCTTTTTGTGTCTGTCCATCAGATGCACAGCTGATCCTGACCACAGTGCCCACATGGAGACCAGGAATTCTGTGCATGGCCATCAAATATGAATTACTGATTTACATGGTGCTAAGGCTGAGAGCATGCACAAGAGAGCCAGCAGCCACCTTGGGGCAGAACAGCTCTTCTACAGCTTGCTGGGCTGCAGCCTGGGAATGTATCCTGTACTAGGTGGTTTGGTGGCACTTTCATGAGCCTACAGCAGATTAAATATGGGCAAGGCTGCTTGTTTCCATTGGGAAGCATCATACCAACTCTGAGACGTGTCATTGGAAAAAGGACTGAGGTTGAGAGCCTCAACACCTCCATTTCCTACACAAGATGCGTCTGGTCTAGCTACCCTACAGCCTACTGTTACTTCCACCTCTATGCATAAGGGAGAACAGCAGAGCCACAGAGTTGAAGCTCTCAGTTTTAGAACTATGAAATACACACGTTGCACTTCCAAAATTTCTGTAGCTACTAGGCTTGGGATACCAACAGCCCATAAAGCTGTACACCCAAACCCAAAAACAGCCTTACACACACCACCATCCCCAGAAACCCACCCCACAGGCTGCTCAGCACTGCCTAATCAAGCCACAGACAGCAAATCCCCACGATTATTTGCAAAAGATGGAGGAGAACAAATAAATTTTAAAAAAAAGGGAAAAAAAAAAGGCAAGGAATTCTCTCTGCCTTTTATGGGGAGGGATGGATCCAGGTTAAGAAAACTCTGACCACGGCACTGTCTGGGGAGCAGGCATTCCGCTGAACTGGTTAGGCAAGGGGCGGCTCGCTCAGGGGCATGACAGGAAGGTATGTACAGGGGGAGGGGGACGAGCTGCTCCATCCCTGGGGACAGCACTCCAGCTCCTGCCAACAGGGTCCCCGCAGCCCTGGCCACACTGCTGGGATGGTGGTGGCAGAAGACTCACAGACTCCACAAACCCCTCAAATAGCACTTTTTCCTCTTGCTGAAATCCTTAGCCCAAAGCAGCTTTGGGTCCAGACCAGCATCTCGTAGCATCAGCGAGTTTACAGGACTTTTGAGACGTGGTAAGAGAAAGCAATTTTGCACCTGGTAGAGCACGCTGACAGCACTAAGGAGGCTCCAGGACAATGCAGGGGTTATTGCACTGCCACACACCACTCCTAGAGAGATATCTCCAGACCCCTCCTCCCTGATGGCCCAGGGCATTCAACCAGTCAGACACACATATAAAATTGCTATAGCATTACCTGATTTCTAGCACTGCAGGATACAGGCTTTGCAATAGTTCATCCTGAATGCAGGGAACTAGACATCACCCCACCACACCCCAGAGCTGCTGGCTACATCCCTGACCAGAGGGGAGGCTGGGGACCACCTTCTTTGGTGCACTTAATGAATGTCAGGAGGCCCACAAGGACACACATGCACCTTACCTTCCTGGCCATCCGCAGCTCCGTCCCACACCAGGGCCATGGCACAGACTAAGTGTTCTCCACACCCACAGGGACCACCAGCCCTTCACTCCAGATATGCAAAAAAGGCAGATCTTCGCTGGGGTTTCCCAGGCTGCCTGTGGTTCACACCAGGGGAAAGGAAAGTCCATAGCTGACAGCCAGGATGGGTCACCCAGGACATTGTGAAAGAGCTGGTCACAAGGCACATGGCTGGGGAAAGCTGCTGACTGCCTAATGTTATACCAGACCCAGAAACTCTTCCTGCCCCTTTCAGATCTTTTCATCCCAAGGTAGTGCAGATCACCAGTTTCTCTTACCCCTTTCTTACACAGGCACAGAAGTTTATTCCTTTCTCAAAACAAGTGCATGAAAACTGCAAGGTCTCAGCAAGAGACAGGACTACAGCCCAGATGAGAGGGGTTTCTCTGTCACCCAACCTTCACCCTCGGTTTCTCCCCAAAGTGCTGCATTTTCAAGGCAATGGACACAACTGATGAGTGCTCAACAGGGCAGGACTCATGCTCATTTTCCAGCCCACTTGTGGGACAGCTTCTTCAGGCCCTACAGCTCCTTCCCCACTACTAGTTCTGTTCTGAACAAGCACTTGTACTCCCAGAAGTCAAATAATAATAATAAAAAAAAAACAAAAAACCAAACAATTAAAAATCACAGGTTACACCAGCACAACTCTTAGGAAGGATGGACATCTTTTAAGACTGCAAGTTTCATTTTTCAGCCATAAATTGCAAGAAGGCGCAAATCTTATTTTAAAAGCTGACTGGAATTGCTTTAAAATCCACATAAGGACAATTGATTTAAATAAACCACTCTGAATTGCTCTGCATCCATTTAAATCTCACACGGTGATGCATTCTGGAGAAAAACTGGCCTTGCTCTTTTTGTAAGACAAATGTAATACTATAAAGCACTCTGCCTTGATCTCAGTGCTCATCTCCTAGGGCCCCTCTGTTTCTGCTGCATTCCTTTGTGTTTATCTGCCCTCTTCAACCCTTTGCTGCAATCAGCTGCGTGCAGCACCTCGTGTCTAGAAGTGACATGGCTGAGGTTACAGGAGAGACAGGTGCAAGGGAAGCTCGTGCCCCGAAGCCATCCAAAGGAAAAGAGAAGCTGGAGGGGAAGAGAGTTGTAAGGTATTTCAGATTAAAGCAAACACCTTGCCCCAGGCTACACATTCTATGCCAATGAAAGCTGCAGCCGCTTCGAGCCCCAGAAACAGCAAAGCAAACACAGACTTCTCTGCAAGGGGAGTTGTCACCTGTCAGGGATGTTTGCAAATTTATAGGGAGGTGGTGGTGGTGGTAAGGGGAGTAAAAAGAGCTTTCCTCATTTTAAAAGACGGGCTGTTTGCACAGGTTTGCAGTGCATATTTTGCTTTGTGAAGGCTTTTGTCCAGCATTCAACTGAGAGAAGGTGCTGTCTTCCACCGAAGACAAACTGGAACATTTATTAATGTACATACATTAATGTACTCCGAGCTGCTGCCTTTACAGTAAGGGTGAGGATGGGATGGAATTTCCCCGCTCCCCCTTCAGCTTGTCATGTCAGTGAAAAACACTTCTTAAAGAAGTCACCCTGCAGCCTGGCCTCTCCAGAAATGCCTCTTGCAAGGCTGGGCTAAAACTCATCATCAGCAATAAGTAATTGCATAGAGAAAGCTTCTTGTACCCTTCCCAGGCAGCAGTGCTCAGAGAGAAAAAGGGGAAGGGACTTTCCATTTATGTTTCACTGCACCAGTGAGGGAGAGGGAGACTGAACAGGCCTTCAGTGAGCCCAGCAGCCACCACAGGGCCCTGCAGACACCTTGGAGGAACAGGAGATGGGGAGGTGAGCTTGTGCCCAATGCCACAAATCCAGATTTGAACATGGAAGGAGAAAACTTACTGCTAATGACCTTTAAAGTGTTGGGAATTGTTTCTTAGGAGGACATAGTTCAAACAGACCCTTATAGTCAATTTTGAAAATACAAATCCCCTGTAAACATGGAGAATCTTTTGGACTATTAAGGAGGCAGTATTTCACTGGAGCTGTGCTGTAATGGTGGAAAAAGACAAGATCTAGATGCTGATGGAAGGCTTGCACCCCTCATGCCCCACCAAATATCTTTATCAAAAGATAACCAGACGTGATGTAGGTCATCTCTCCTCATGCACTTGGATTAGTTCACCACATTATCCAGGCACATACCCAAACTCAAAGCAGCTTTTTAACCCTTTGCAACCTGCATGGAAAGGGAAGAGCACTGCAGCCTCCCCAGCAGTCACACCAGCACAGCACTGACAGGTCAAACCTCCTGTCACCAGGGGTGGCATCCACAATGACCCAAGGAGCTCCTTCCTTGCAGACACAATCCTCCAGGTCACAAACACTACCAGGATACAGACTGCCAATACACCATCACTGGGCATATCAAAAATTGTGGTTGATTAGCCAGGGAATTAAACAAGTTTCTCAGGATGGAAACAGTACAACAAGAAAATTTACCTACAGCAACACAAATTTCAAACTACACTTTATTTTTACCCTGAAGTATAAAAAACACAGGAAGAACAGACACAGGACACGAGCAACTCAAACTCCTGAAATACCTCCTGCTCCAGCCTGCAAGAAAAGCACCTGGCTTCTTCAGAAGAGCTATTGCTAAGAAAGAGCCAGTCTGTTAGTGCCAAAGGCAATGAACCAGCAACACCAGTGCCTCATCTGCATTCCAGCCTTGAGCCATATCCCCGAAACACCCATGGCCAAGACTCATTACAAACACTCTCTAGTCTGAAGAAACTGGAGGGGAAAAGAACCCAACCATGGTCTGAGAAAAGTTTTCATTCATATATGACCCTCAAGAGAAGAAAAACCAGTGAAGAATCCCTGGCCTTGGTCAGCAAAATTCCAACTGTGCCCAGAATCCAAATTATTTTAACCCTGAGGTCAAACTAGCTCTAAGCAGGGAGAGTGCAGGGATGGTTGAGTAGCCTGTGTAAGAGGCTCCTCACTCTCCTGCCAGTTCAGCTGCGTCATCCCTCCCTCCTGCCACTGCTGCTGCAGGAGAAGAGCAGGTGAGGAGCCAGCCAAGGTGGAACGATGGCCCTGGGGCAATGCAGCTGGAAAAGCTCCTGCAAAAACTCCCCTGCTGCCCCCAAAGGTTAAGGAAGTTTCTCATTACTCACCCACATCGGGTCATTGAGCTCGGTGTCCTGCACCCGGACACAATCCATGCTGATCTCAATTTTGTTTGTGGAGCCATCTTCAGATGGGCCATCAATGAAGTTTAAATCAATTGGCTGAACTGAGCATATTGGCCTGGGAAGAACACAGTAATGGAGTTAAAACTGGCCAAGTTCTGTTTTCCACCACTCCACCTTCCTTCCCTTCCCCTGTACCCAGAATTTTGGCACTACCACGAGCCAGTCCCATGACAAAGTCAGGAATTACTGAGGAACAGCCACCTCCTCACCAGGGCACAACAGCCCCTGAGCAGGACAGGGCCCTGAGGGACATGTCACTTGCTCTGAGGAGCAGAGGAGTCAAATCACTGAGAGACAGAACTCATGGAGGATTTACAGCAGTGATTGTTTCAGCATCAGTCATGGCAAGCAGAAATGGGAAGAGAGGTGGTTTTCTTTCAGCCAATGGATCTGAGAGGGTGAACTCTGCACCATCTTCACCTCCTCTCCCTCCCTGGCATCAGCAAGGGGAAAGCATGCAGCCTGGACACAGCGTGATGAGCCCATTTCCTGAGGGGAAATGAGCCATGGGAAGCAGCCAGCTCAGCCACCAGAGGCCTGGCAGAGAATCAGTGTCACTGCCCACTGCTGCACTTGGTCCCCACAGCCTGGTGAGGTCCTCTGGAGAGCTCCAGAGCTGTCAGTCACCACAGACTGACACATCCAATCATCACATCCATATCTAATCAAACAGTACAGAAGATTCCCAACTCCCCAGCATCAGTCCCTGAGCAGCCTAATTATAGAGGCATCCTGTCTTAAAACACCTTCCATATGTTCCACATAAGGGCTACTTACTGTTCCAGGAAGTCCCAGATATGCTGGATGACCTCTGGGCTGAGGAATTCCCTGGGCTGAGAGCTTTGGGACATGGCTGATCGGTAGTAACTCTCCTTCCAGGAGAAGGGGCTCGGAGTTTCTACAAACCTTAAAAAACAAAAGCAAAAAAAAAAAAAAAGGAAAAAAAAAGAAAACAAAAAAGAAAAAACAAACCAAAAGAAAAAGAAAAACACACACAAAAACATATTGAATTCATGAGTCCAACTTGATGAAAACCCATAAACAGAAGTTATTGTGTGAAAAAGGAGACATGCTGAATGCCTGAGACATTCACAGCTGTACAACACACATTCCACACTGCTGCAGATGCTGCATTTAGATGGGAGAGAATCTGGCCACCCTTCCCTGTAAGTTAAATACCCATCAGAGTCCACTGGGATGCTGTGTCACAAGAATCCCAGATTCGAGAAAAAACAAAGCATTTCCCCATTTCCCCCAAATAATCAACTTCCCATATGAAGCAGGTAGTCTTTATAGTGGGTGAAGCAGCTAAGCAATGTGGGATTCCACTGTCCCAGGCTGTTTGCCTGTCTAAATGGCATGCCCTTGAATGATTTCGGTGACTTCTACACCCAGCCACTGCAGCTCAGGTCATGAACCAAGTACTAGATTGTGGTTTTGCTCAGTTTAGGTTTTTTTTGTTGTTTTTCACTTTTTATTTTGAATAATAATAATAAAATAGTATCTTTGTCTTCTTTTCTATGGAAATAAGTAAAATTGTGTCAGATTTTATCTGTTTATCTACTGCCTTCTCACCTCCACTGATTTCTGAGCCAGACCAACTGATTTCCACCAGATCTGCTAATTATCTTGTCCATTTTTATCCCCTTAAGCTCCCACAAGCCTCACAGAAATAGGTGGGCCCAAGAGGAGCAGTGACAGAGCTGGAGCACTCATGCCTTCCACAGCTGCACATTCTCATCCCACTGGCCAATTTCTAAATTCAAACACAGCAGCTTTTATACCCATGTCAAAATACTTGACGGCTCTAAGGATGTAAAGGGGGTGGGAGGAATTTCTCCAGAATATTTGCAGTTGACAAAAACTCTCAGTTCAACTTCAGAGTATGAAGAAGGTGACCACCTTTCCTGCTACAGGGTTGGGGGTGTCCTGCAAAATTTCCATATGAGAGTTATTTCAGCACAATGCAAGTGAACAACCACATTCTGTGCCAGGGGAATGGCCATGGCAGGAGCCAAGGTTACAACTGGATTCCAAAGAGAATTGAACTAATATTTGGTTTGGCACATATTGCTCCTGATTAACACAATGGTCTAAACAAATTGCATGGAAGACCCTAATTTATTAAACTGACAAAATTAAGAAAGAGTGTTTCAGAGGGAGGGTCACACTGTAGTGCTTTTACTCCACTTTTCCTGAAGTATTTACTTCTGGCTGCTGTCAGAGTGATATCTAGCTCTCTTCACTGAATTTTTAAAGCCTCTTTCATTTTGAGGAAGATTCTTGTCTGCAGAAATCTGGGCTTTCCTCACCTCTGCTCTCCACAGAACTGCATGCTCTTAGAAAAGAGCAGATTGTCATTCTAAGCTAAAGGAAATCAAAGTGCCTTAAAAACCCCTGGAGCCAGCGCTGGGCACACCTCAAAATAGGTGAAAGCATCACTTCAATTCATCATCCTTTTTGTGATTAGGGAAAAAAACTCCAGCATAATTTAAAAGTTCATGAACAGCCAGAAACAAAAATGAAATGCAGACGTGCATGGGTAATAGTTCTGCTTCACAGATGGGAGTACATGCCCACACTACATGTGAAAAAGTAATCACAAATCCTCTGAGAACAGCAGTTATCCCACAAAGTACCCAAAATTACTCCTTTCAGGCTTTCAGTGAGGTAAGACACTTTCAAGAATGCCATACTGAAACCCAGAAGACCAGATCTGGCCATCAGCCTGTCACACAGACTGCAGGTCAGTGCCACCACAAGCCTTGGAGGAACACAGTGGGAAACTCTGCATCCTCCTGTGCTGCTCAACGCAGACAGACCACAGGCATTGCTCAATCCCCTGCACCCAGTCCTGACCACCAGGAACAGGCAGAGAAACTCCACAATGGGCTCTCTCAAGCCATCAGTGCTCATTATTTGCCACTTATAACAACTGCTTTTGACTTGTACACTAAAAATCACATTTCATTACTACACAGACAGGAACTGATTTCAATGAAAAGAGTTATAACAAACTAGGCTTCTCTCAGATACCTTTCCTTCAAAAAGTCTCAGTACAGCAAGGTTCCTGCATGCCATGGCATGCCCCAACTTTAATTCACTGCTGCACAAAGTTCTGTCTCAACAAGGCAAAGTGTCCCGGGTCACCCTGCCTGCTCTGGTCCTGGTGGTCCTGTTCAAATGCAATTTCACAAACCTGCTCCAAACAAGCAGTGTAGGAGATATCAGCTGCACAAACTGATACAGCCAGGTTTGTTCCTCTACACCTTTGCAGCTAGCAGAGCTGTTGGAAAGCATTGCACCAGTTGAGGACACAGCTGGTGCATCCCTCTACTAAACACATATCTAAACTTCTCCAGAGAGGGACACTTTCTAGCTGCAACATCTTTATCCCTGTAGCCAGACAAGCTCTTAGCTTACTGTTTCCAGGAAAAGCATTCCAGATTTTACCCGAGGGCCAAAAAGGCACATTTCCCTGCACTAAGCACAAGGAGTCTCCTGGTCAATGTTTTCAGAGACTCCTTCAACAGTTTTACCACCTGTACAGCTCTATTTCCAAAGGAGGCAGTAAGATTAGTCAGTCAGCCTTGGCAAGGCAGCTGTGACAAGGCTACAGCACTACAGTAAACTCAGTTTGGTGCACCCTGTTCTCAAGTGGGAAAGAGCTGTCAAAAGGCAATAAAACCAATTCAGCTCAGCACAAAGCTGCATGCAAGATAAACTCTATCCTTCCCTGTGGTCTCAACAGAATCTAAACCTAGTGCTACTTCCCTTAACTAACAGCCTTCAACATAGAGGAGAAGTTTCTGTCTCCGAACACATACTTAAGTGTCTGAATTTCCACTGGAAAATAACAGCTAAAGCCTATGTAAAATCTGTGCATAAATTTCACTACTTTAGTTAATTGTCTTTTCCCACATCAGCAAATGCTCTACTTTCAGTAAAATAATTGTTAAGTGCCTAAAGTTAATCACAAGATTGTATTGCTTAAATTGCTTCTATGAACCAGATGCTTTTTTTTATTAATAAGCATCTTTTACCTACATCTGATCATCCCAAAGGCCCATGGCACTACTGAATACAGCCTCTTATACTAAAATACTGACTGCAACAGAACAAAGCATAGCAGTAAGTCTTGCCTAGGCTGTCTCTGTCTAAAGTCTGCCAGGTCCCTGCACCAAGTGCTGAACTACCTGGCAGGATGCTTTTCACAAACAGAGAGCAACAACTGCACCAGGAACTACATTTACAACCCTATCAAACTGCAAGCTGAATAGAACATTGCATCCACAATCCCCTCCTTTAAAAACCACCAGGGGATTATTAATAGCAAGTTAAGCCTTCTCACAGCAGCAGCAGCACCTCACCAAGAACAGCGTTCCTTTGTGCAGTGCGGGGCACTGCTCCCGAGCTGGTGAATCCCAGGACAGGTTTCAGGCAGCCCTGCCCTCCCACCGAGGTCCTATTTATCTGCTGAAACAAGAGCAGCCCAGAGCCCAGGTGAAAGCACTTCTCCAAATTCACTGGGTGGGCTGGAGCCCCAGGCACACTGATTGCTGTGTTGGGGATGTGCCCAGCTGATCCCCCTTGCCACCCCACTGATGAGTGACATCTCTGCAAAACACCCCAGTGACAACGTGCACCTGTAGCTGTGCCCACACAGCGCTCCGGTTCAGAGTTTACAGAAAAACACCCAAACCAAAACCAACTCTCCCTTCCAAAAAAGGAAAAGCACAGCCATTTGTCTCTCATAATCTGTGGCCACACTGCAATCACCTTTCCCTGGAGCTGAGTGTCCCATCACAGGAGGAAATGAAGCCCTGACCGCTTGGCCCCGCAAGACATAAAAGTGGTGGTGGAGAGAAAACCAGACCATTTCTGCTCCCACTGCTCCGTCTAAGCACATCCTTCCATTCTCCACCACATCACCCCCTTTCCTACCTTCAAAATTAAGAGGTTAAAGATAAAAGCAAACAAGCCACTCTCCACCCCAGGAAACAATGACAGAAAGCCATTAAACTCAACTATTGCAACACAGCAACACTTCTCACCCGAAATACCACCTTCCACTGCAATCAGTCTTTCTTAGAAAGGGCTTAGACCAAAACGCCCAGGTTTGACTTACCACTGGGGAAAAGCCACGAGCTCCCGAGGAAAGCAGGACCCAGGCTTGACACTGAGCATGCACAGCCCAGCCCCTCCTCTGTAGCTGTGACCCTTAAAGGCAGATGCGACCTGCGTGCACTGATAGGGGTCAAATCTGACACAGGGCACAGCCCAAGCACCGCTGGTGCAAGTGGGCGTCCAGCAACCTCCTCCCAAAAATAAAGGCTGTCGCAGTCAAAAGGTAGCTGGTTTCCTTTGTGTTTTAATCCAAAATGGGCTTGGTGCTTCAACACTCTGCACTACTCCGGGGTAATAGCATGGTTTGTAAGGAAGCCAGAAATTAATAAGGTATTTCAGTGGAGCTGCTGTGTTGGGTTTCAAGAGGTCCAAGCACCTCCATTTCTCCATAACTTCCCTTAAAAAACTGGAGCTCTGGTTTGGTTTGTGTTTCTCCAGCAGTATGCAGGTTCTCAGAAATTATCGGTATGGTTTATGGGTGCAGATCTTTGTGGCTTGATGTTGGTGTAAAGCCACAGTGTAAAATTTTGTAAAATCAAATCTTTCACAGCAGGGATGAGCAAAATGATTCGGAGCTTTCTTTCTGCTTGTTCCCAAACTACAGAGCATTGCTTTCTGCTTCTCCCTAGGAAACATCTATCAGTGGTGTACAATTTTCTATCACTGAGCCTGTAGTTCTCAGTCAGTGGACATGCAGATGGGACCAGTGAAGTCTTTTTCTGTAAGCTACAAATTTCACTCTTTTTTCACAAGTTACAGTCCCCTAAAGAATATATTAG